TTTGCTGCCCTCCCGCCAGGCGCCAGCGTCCGGCCGTTTGGCGATGGGGGCTCTCGAGAAAGCAGGTAGGAAATCGTGCCGGCTTGATTTGAAGCTAGGGAGCAAAGGGAGGGTTTGTGTGCGTCGGGTAGGGCTGGCAGCGCCCATGTCGGGGCTGCCTGGCACCGCTGCAGGGAGGACAGAACCTGGGGGAGTGGGAATTTCTGGCTGAAATGCTCCATCCTGGGAGTCTGTCTCAGGGTGTTTCCTATCTAACAAGGACAGTCCAAGCCGTTCAGCTATCTCAGAGAACAAGATTATGAAAAAAGATGTAGTTTTTTCAATTATGTATATAACACATCTGTGTGAGTAAAGAATTACTTTTTTTGGATAGCATTCACGGCTCCATGCTCTGGAGAACCGACAATCTGAAATCCTTGGTGCCACGAAAGCCTCAGTGCCCTGCCATCCTCTGGGAAAATATGCCCATATTGTAAATCTAGTTCTTCTGTTCTTAGTCAAAATGCCTTTGACTTTATAGCGAGATCCAAAGAGCTGCTCAGTCATCCACAGCCCGGGCTAGGAATCAGTGGAGTATTCACCTGATGAGGCAAAATGTTGATCACCCTAATTCTGGAGGTTCGGACCTTCCAAGGACTTGGCTTTGCCAGCTTATTATTCTCTAAAGTCAATTTCTGTGCACCTCAGCTGAAACATTCAGATATAAATACTGAAAGTCACAGCAAGGAGACCCTCTCTGTGCAATGGGAATGTCACTGCTTTTGTTTTTTCATGTGAGGGTTTATTTAATATGGCAGTATCTAATTTGATGGGATTGCACACTTGACAATGAACTAACGTGTTGCTGTATAAATCCTTCTGTTCAACTAGAGAGCATTAGAGACAAGCAATTCCATTGAATTCATTGTTGTAATAAATAGACAAATAAATACGTAAGGAAATGCAAACTCACATTCAGCTACACTCGTGGGCTCTGCTGCCAGGAAAGCTAACTGCCTGGCCATTTGTCTCTCCTGCTGCCTGGAAAAGGAAAGCGTTCCTGAGATACATTTCATACATCCTGGTTTGAAAGCTAGAAGTACTGGATATCCTTGCTGTAGGAACACAAGTTTCTGAACCTGTTTTTCTCTCCACTCGCATAATTGCAAATAACAGTTAGAGGCAACGGAATATCACCAAAATAATCATATCTCAGCAAAAAGGCATTGCTCCCATACAGAGATTTCAGTGAACAGACTCTGTGATGGCAATGGCATCAGCTCTGCTGACAGCAGAGCTAAACACTGCAAGGGCTTTTGTATCGAGATTTTATGTAAAAGAGGAGAGCTGCCCACAAGACCAAAAAACCAGCTAATCTTCAAGCATATTTTCACTATTCTTCTTACCTCGCTTCCTACAAACTTGACAGTGCCCGACAACAGCTCTGGTTTATGCTCTGTACATAATATGAGGTACTTGCACCATCATACTGCAAAGGATCTTCAAGGAAACTAACAGTTTACTCCCAGGTATGCTGATTTGCTTTTCTTTAAGCCTCTGCCATACGCTTAGGTATTTGTATAAGCTTTGGGCCTCCTGCTAAACAGCCCATTAGAAGTCAAACTTGCAGAGTTCTTGTGACTCTGGAAATTGGAATCTAAATGCATGTCATGGTTTATGCAGCAAAATAGAGAAATACAAATTCAAGCTTTGTTTCAGCACCTGAGGTAAAAGCTAGACCCAAATATTATCCCTCCCACAGCTGCAATTATGTTTTGGCTCTGCCTGTCCCTAGACATTACGGCTGTCAGCAGTAGAATGAATGTTTTACTTGGCACATGCCTCGCCACCTTCTAATACAGCCTGATAAGAGAAAAGCCAAGAGGGTCCAGATAGAATATGAACTTGTGTTGCCTAAAGGAAAATATTTTCTTCTTCCATTCCCTCTTGCTGCAGTTTCATTTTCTTAATTCTTCTTTTCCCTCCCGAGTCGGCTGTTGTTCCTTATACAGACCTGATCCCCAGTTCTCCCCGTCATTTCACAGTACCTCTGGTACGCTCTCTCCTTTGACAGCAGCCTGTCAGCTGCGGTGCCATGGGATTCACGGGGGCTGACAGCAATGGGAACGCTCCAGGCGCCTTCGTGGTTCTTCCTCTCATTTACGATGAACTCGTAGAGGTCTCGATTACGCTCGCAGCAGAATTTCTGAAAGGCAGAAGAGCAGTGCCACAAGAGCGGGCCTTTCCACAGCAAACCTCTGCCCATCTTCCCCACCAGCTTACTGATTCATAATCCTGTGACGGTGGGCAAGCGTCTTCGACGGAAGGGAACGGCTTCAGCAGGCTGCCACAGTACTCGCACCTCGGAGCGCAGTCCTCCTCTGTCTGAAGTGGAGGTGGGGAGAGAGAACAGGAGGAGCACAGAAATGGGGTATCAGCACCCAGGTCCTCATTTTGTCTTGGGGAAAGAGGGCTCTGCTCAAAACGCAATGTTATAAAGCGTGTAAGAGCTGTTAAAACAGATCTGTGTCTGTGATATCTTGGAAGGATTCAACTCAAAACATTAGGTTCAGGAAATCACCGAAAAAGCCAATCTGTAGTAAATAAATAACCTCAAAGAAATGGAATGACCGCACTATTTATGGGACCTATTCCTTCCAAGGGAAAGCTTCAGAGCATGGAGAACGCTATAGTTGAGTACTCTGATGCATTAACCTTTTCAAATACATTGCTTGGGGCTTTGGGGAGAAAAAGTTCCCTGACTGTTGCACTGTTGATCATAGAAAAATCTGTAGGGAATTTCATGAGGAACCACCAGCCGGTTTGTTGATAAAAGAGCTGAGCATATTTGACCAGATGCAAATCAGGGCTGCTGCAGCATGTCCTTTGAGGATGGGTACTAGATACTCTGAAAGAAATATCTGTTCTTTGAAAATGCATTTTGAAACTATTACAGAAGATGCAGCTGCCAAGAAATGCTGCTGGATTTGGTGTCTAACACCTCCGCTCCCAAGGGCAGCTCACCTAGCTCGGCGCTCCCCAGAGAGACAGCAGCCATCCAGCCGCAGCAGCAAGGGGTGAAGGGCGCTTGCTCCGGGCCGCTTAGCTGGGGCGCTTCACCTATGCTTCATTTACTATACTACGTGTTTCATTCAAATCCTTTTCTGAACATACTAATTTAAAATACTTGGCTTCTCTGGAGCGTAGTTCCTGGAAATTCCCTTGCTCCCCACCTCATGCCTAGGATTAACTCTCTTTGATGACTTTACTCTGCTAAGGGTTATGGGGAACTCTATGTCCTGTTTGTATTCTTTGACTTTTCTTTACGGAACAGATCCTCTTGAGTGCCATCACAGAGCACGTACAGGACAACCAGGTGATCAGGCCCAGCCAGCATGGGTTTATGAAAGGCAGGTCCTGCTTGGCCAACCTGATCTCCTTCTATGACAAGGTGACCCGCTTCGTGGATGAGGGAAAGGCTGTGGGTGTTGTCTACCTAGACTTCAGTAAAGCCTTTGACACCATTTCCCACAGCATTCTCCTGGAGACACTGGCTGCTCGTGGCTTGGACGGGCGTACGCTTCGCTGGGTAAAAGCTGCCTGGATGGCTGGGCCCGGAGTTGTGGTGAACGGAGTTAGATCCGGTCGGTGGCCGGTCACAAGGGGTGTTCCCCAGGGCTCGGCATTGGGGCCGGTTCTGTTTAACATCTTTATTGATGATCTGGATGAGGGGATTGAGTGCACCCTCAGTAAGTTTGCAGATGG